TGTCACTGCCTTTGGCAACAGTACTCCATCCTCCAACTCTACAACGAATATAGCTTGTCATTTATCTTTATCAGTCTTCCTGACATGTAAGTTTCTTTCTGTTGTCTATATAATTCTCTCTCTCTCTCTCTCTCTCTCTCTCTCTCTCTCTCACACACACACACACACACACACACACACACACACACACACACACACACCCTTGTACTGCTGGGTTTTTTTTCAGATATAAACATTTAAAATGTTCCTTAACCAGTTCAAATTTTAATATAAAACAAAAGCAAAATTGTTCCATGAGTTCCAGTATTTTAATGTCTGTCAATTAAGTTTCTGTGATGTTGTCTAAAATGATGACTTGATAAAATGGTTAGACAATAATGTGATGGTGAATTACTGCCTGTGCAGTTTGAAGTACCATTTTCCCCTTTCTCTGATCTCCAAGTAGATCAGAGGTTACAGCCGTTACACATCTGGTGTGCAGTAAATCAGTCCAAAGAGCTTAGGCTCTTTAATGATTCAGCCCATCTGAAAAGCACCATTGGGAAAGGATCTCTAATACTGCAATATGAACTTTTGCCATTAATAATGGTGCTGAAAACGATGACTGCTTTGGTCCCAGAGTCCTCATGTTTTGCTTCTATTTTGTTTACTTTTTGCAGTTTTTTTGGGGGGGGTTATTTGTTTATGAAAGAGCTAGGGTTTTTGAGGTAGTTTCTTTTTTGCCTATTAAAAAAAAGCCCTTTTACATATTTTGTTGATCATGAAAATGAGGAAATAATCCTCTAAATGGAGCTAAGTGTCAAATAACTTCACTGTTTCATAATGAGACTTATTTGGAATCTAGAGTAATGATATTTTGAAATTTTCTAAGCCACCATTTTCAAAATTAAACATGTTTGGTCTTCTGTAACAAAAAGAATATCAAAACAATAGTTACTCCATTTAATTGCTTCTTTATTTGTCAAATTAAAAATAAAAGTAAAAATAAAAATTTTAAATGGAATTTTAAAAAGAAGTGAATGGTTTGAAGCATTCCTTATACCAGCTGGATGTAGTGTGTCAGGCATATCTATTTTTTTTTATTCTATTTGTCTAAGTCAACTCTAAATATAGGGGTCTGTGTATTTATCTAACAGTTGTACTCTAAAGTAGATCACATGCTTTTAAGGTCAAGTTGAAACCTAAGATCACCAAAACATCCTCTAGTCAGCTCCTGATATTGCCATTCTAGTTTAGCTGTCTCATACCCTGTGACCTGAAGTGGTGCCATGTGCATTAGGACGCCAGCTTAAAAGATTAGGCTCTTGCTGACTTCCCATAATGGAAGCAACAAGGGGGCAATAGTTCACTGGATATAAACTTGGAGTAAAGTCCTTGGTTATAGACTCACTGGAACTGTTGTTAGGGTTTCCCAGAGTCATGGTAAACTTGTGGAAGACCCAGTACAAATCCTGGGCGACCCTGTGCGGTCCATTCCCGAGTGTAGTTAAGACAGCTTCGAATTCTTAGAATTCTGTCACTCAGATATTCTCATCATTGGTGTTCCTCATTTTTTTCTCAAAAAAAAAAAAGATAACACTCTATTATCATTTTAATGGTACCAGGCCTGGAAGACTTGAGTTCAAATCCTACCTCACAGACTTATTAGCTGTGTGACCCTGGGCATGTCACCTAACCCTGTTTGCCTCTGTTTCCTCATCTGTAAAATGAGCTGGAGAAGGAAATGGCAAACCACGGCAGTATTTTTGCCAAGAAAACCTGAAAAGGGGTCACAAAGAGTAGGACATGACTGAAAAATAACTAAACAACAACAAATCATTGCAGGGCTTCAGATAGACATTTCATATCAAGGCTCATCAAATTTTGAAGGTTGCATATTAATTTCTCATTTTCTCACAGTTTACATGGTACAGGTAGGAATCTTGGATCTCCATTTATTAGGAAGAAAATAGTATTCATTCTTTTCTTTCTGGGTTTAAATCTCACATTACCAATTCCCTATTGGACATTTCAAACTAAATGTCCTGGATGTCATCTCAAATTCAACATGGGGAGCTAGTTGTCTTTTCCCCATAACCCTTCTTTGTTTTAAACTTCCCTATTTATATGTAATTATGGCAGAAACTAGGCATAGACCCAAATCTCACACCATATACCAAAATAAAGTCAAAATGGGTTCAGGACTTAGATATAAAGGCTGATACCATAAGTAAACTGGGAGAACAAGGAATAGTTTACCTATCAGATCTATGGAGAACAGAAGAATTCATGACCAAACAGGAGATAGAGAACATTATGAAAAGCAAAATGGATAATTTTGATTACATTAAATTGAAAAGTTTTTGCAGAAAGAAGACAATGCAACTAAGATTAGAAGGAAGGTAGAAAATTGGGAATTTTTACAACCAGTCTTTCTGATAAAGGCCTCATTTCTAAAATATATAGAGAATTAAGACAAATTTATAAGAACACAAGCCATTCCCCAATTGATAAATGGTCAAAGGATATGGACAGTTCTCAGATGAAGAAATTAAAGCCATCTATAGTCATATGAAAAAATGCTCTAAATCGTTATTGATTAGAGAAATGCAAATCAAAACAACTCTGAGGTACCACATCACACCTATCAGATTGGCCAACATGACAAAACAGGAAAACGATAAATGTTGGAGAGGATGTGGGAAAATTGGAACGCTAATACATTGTTGGTGGAGTTGTGAAATGATCCAACCATTTTGGAGAACAATTTGGAACTATGCCCAAAGGGCTACAAAAATGTGCATACCCTTTGATCCAGCAATAGCACTTCTAGGGCTATATCCCAAAGAGATCAAACAAATGGGAAAAGGACCCACATGTACAAAAATATACATAGCAGCTCTTTTTGTGGTGGCAAAGAATTGGAAATTGAGAGGATGCCCATCAATTGGGGAATGGCTGAGCAAGTTGTGGTATATGAATGTAATGGAATACTATTGTGCTGTAAGAAATGATGAACAGGCTGACTTCAGAAAAACCTGGAAAGACTTATATGGTCTGATGCTGAGTGAAGTGAGCAGAACCAAGAGGACTTTGTACACAATAACAGCCACGTTATGCAATGACTAAGATTGTTAAACTGAACCTTTCTCAGCATTATGAGGATCTAAGACATTTCCAGAGGCCTCGGGATGAATAATGCTGTTCACATTCAAAGAAAGAACTATGGAAGTCGAATCGCTATCACTTATTTTTACCTTCTGTTGAGTTTTGTTTCATCTTTCTGATGGTTCCTCATCTCTCTTGGTTTTAATTTTTACTTACAACTTCACTAATGTGAAAATATGTTGAATGGCTATATCAGATTGTGTGCCGTCTTGGGGACGGTGGTGGGGAGGAAAAGGGAGAAAAATTTTCAACTCAAAAGCGTATGGAAAAAATTAAAAAATTTAAATTAAAAAAGACTGGAATTTAATAATTTAATAATTATTAATTTATTAATAATTAATAATTTAGATATAAAGACTAGAATTATATTCCAGTCTCACAGATTCATAACCTTAGCATTATCCTCCACTTCTCATTGCTCCTCACCTAAATTATCCAGTTAGTCTAACTCAGGCCAGTCCCCTAGTTGATTAGGTTCAACATTTAAACAAAATGAACTACTTCTTACGTCATTGAATACTTAACAAAAAAGAGATTTACTTAGCTATGGCAAGAGAAGAACACTAAACTAGGATAGGCACTGATGACACTTTGCACTGATTCATCTGAACAAAGCTCCCCTTAACTATTACCCATCATGATTCACCATCAAGTAGCGAAGCATCCCTGAAGCTCCTCAAGGCTGTTTTGTACTCAGGCCGTGATGAGATATGTCAGCAGTCCGAGCCTTCAGTCCTTTGAGCCAACCAGGTATAAAGAAATGTTTTAATAACTTGTAAGGAAAAACTAATTTGCAAGGTAGGGAGGAATTAGGATATTACTCTTACAACAACTGCCCAAATCTTGTAACTTCTACCTCCACAACATCTCTTAAAATCAACCCCTTTTTTCTACTCACACAGCTACCATCTTAGTTTAGGCCCTTGTCACTTCTCACTTAGATTATTGCAGATACCTAACTGGTCTCCCTGCTTCATGTCTCTTCCCTTATCTAGACCACTCTCCATTAAAGTAGTTTTCCTTAAGTACGAATGTGACAAGTCTCTCCCTTACTCAATCTTAACTCCAGTGATCCCCTATTACTTCCAGGATAAAATATAAACTTGTGTGTTTGGCTTTTAAGGCCCTTCACAGCCTGGGCCCAAACAATCTTTGGGTATTGCTTCTTTTCCTGCAATCTACAATCCAGCACAGAAGGGCTTTTTCTCTGTTTCTCACATATGGTGGTCCATCTCCTTCCTCCAGGTCTTTGCACTGGCCATCCACCATTGCTGAAATACACTTCCTTCTCATCTCTACTTCAAACAATTACCTTATTCCTTCCAGGCTCAGCACAAATACCACCTTCTCTAGGAAGTCTTTTCTGATCTTCCGCAACTGCTAGAGCTCCTTCTCTTACAAATTACCTTATATTTAACTACTTCGTATTTATTTGAATTTGTTTATTTCCTTTATGTTTATTTTGTATATTTTATTTGCTAAGGTCTATCACAATTCCTGGCACATAGTAGGTGCTTAATAAGTACTTGTTGATTGACTTTTTAAAATTGTATTTAAAGAATAGTATTGGAGAGGTTGTACTGGATTGTAATCTCAAAACCTGTTTAAATCCCACGTTTGCCATTTAACTAGCTGTATGACTTCAGAGAAGTCAGTTAACATTAAGGCTTTCAGTTTTACTCACCTATGAAATAGAAATAGTAATACTTGAACTACCTACCTTATGGAGTTGTTATATGGTTCAAATGAGATGTATGAAAAGTATTTTGTAAATTGAAAAGTCTTAAATAAATGGGAGATGTTGTCGAGAGAGTTTGTTCTCTTGTGCTAACCAGGAATTTATGTATTTATAGGAGCAATAACCATGGCTTTACTGGAAAATCTGGTGGCGGGAAACGTCTACATTGTGAAGGTAGCGGCATCCAACGAAGTGGGAGAGGGACCCTTCTCCAATTCAGTAGAGCTCTCAGTTCTTCCGAAGGAAACCTCTGAATCAAATCAAAGGCCGAAACGTTTAGATTCTGCTGATGCCAAAGGTCTGTAGGAATGCTGTATTTTTTCTCAAGCCTTAGGGGGGAAAGTCTCTTCAGTCCTATCTTTCCTTCTTTAATCACCCTAATGGGTTCCTAGCTATCTCAGTACTTGTTACTCTTTACTTCTAAACCTTCCACCAAAGGTCACCTGCCTTGCTTCTCATGCTTTCTTCTGGTTTTCCCTTTGCACCTCCCTGAAACTATCTGGATCTGGAGTTGGATCTACTTTGCCTCTAATTCTCCAGTTCTACTCTTTCGTCCTTTGGCAGAGTTATCAGTGACTCAACATCTTGTACAGAAACTGGTTGTACCAAATACTGAGGGCGCAAATTTGTAACAAAAGCCATAATCAGCAGAGTGGTACAGCGATGATCTGCATGGGGAAACCACTCCTCTCTTACATTATTGCCACCCTGAGAACCTACCACCCAGTGCTTCCACCCATACAGTTTGTACCTAGCAGCGTGCATCTAGCACCTCTATTGAGAAAAGCCTCATATTCCACAGTTTTTTGCCTTTGTTTGACATCTCCCACACAGTTGTCTGTTATTTGTGAAAGAGATGGATTCCTCTTCCATGTGAGCTATTAATTTGACACATCTGTGTATAAGTAGAGAAAGAATACCTCAGTATGTACAAAAAGTGCCCACTAACAGATAGTGTCTTTGTGTGGTTCTGTGGGAAGAGCTTGAAACCATATTTTTTCAGGATATTACTGGCCATTCAGAGTTATAATTGCAGGTTTCACCTAAAATGAAGAAACCCACTTTGTGGAATTCTAAGCTAGCATAAGGTTAAAAGTAAATGCTGTTGGTTAAGTTCTACCTTCTCTCTACCACATTCACGTTCCTCTTCCTACTGTTGGCACATCCCCACCACCATCCTAATGCTTGGTACTCTTTTTTGCCCTCTGTGCTGTCACTGGGTAAAGAGGCCACTTTAGTCCTAGCAACAATTACTGGACCTGTGCCCTACTTTCCATCACCTCTCTTCCAAGAAGCATTTTCATGAATTGTATTCAAGGATAAATGGTGGGCAGCCCCTTTGTTTACTTGCCTGGAAATGAGCATTGTCAGAGTTTAGGCTGAGAAGGGCATTGTTTTCTTTTTCCACAGAAAGTGTGAAAGAAAGTGTTTGCTCATTTCTCTCCACAGAAGCTGTTTAACAGTAGGACAGAACCTCTTAAAAGGCTACTCACTCCAATCTGACACTTTCATCCTCCACCCACTTAGCAAATGGAGACTGCCTCAGACCTGTGTGAGTCTGTAGCCTTCCAAAGTACCAGCATTACTAAGGAGGCAGTGAGGGGAACATGAGTTGTTATGAAAATAGGTGTTCAGCGCCAGATTCAGCAGTAACAGAGGTAAAGAGTAGCCATGGTCACAAGAACAGGATGGTAGCTGACTGTGAAGGAATGTACCCTAAATTCTTTAATGTTAAGTCAAGCTGATTACTGCATGTCATAGTGAATAGAGATTTGGCCTTAGAAAAAGGAAGATCTGGGTTCAAGTCCTGTCCCTGACACAAGCTGACTTTATGACCCTGGCCAAGTCGCTTAAGCTCTCAGTGTTTTACACAACTCTCTAAGACTCTCAGCTGCAGAGAACATGCCAACACACATGGTGGAAGGTGTTTTCTTATTTAGGAATTACAATTACAGGTCTAGTTCCTGTCTCTCAATCATAAAAATAATCGATAACCTATAGATGTTTGCTTCTCAGCTGACTTAACTAGAATGTAAACCTTTTGTGTATCAGGAAATATCTGTATTTTGTACATGTTGAAATAAAAATAGCCAGTGGACTTCCTTGATTGTAAAAAAAAAAGTATTTAATTTACATGCATTTTCTATCTGAAACTATCCTTCCTTCCTCCCTTTGTTCCTTCCTTTCTTTCCTACACCTTCCTTCGTTTCTTTCTTATATTTAACTATATATTAGATAGTATATTGTGTGTGAAAATGCATATAAATATATATATTTACACATACACATACATACATACATACCTACATACATGCATACATACATACATACATACATACGTACATACATACGTACATACATACTTTTTGCGACTGGCTCTTCCTTTCTTATCCTGGATGGAAGTGCAGTGATTACTCACAGGCCCCATCCCAGTCCTGAGTAGCATGGAATCTTTGACCTGTTCTGTTTCCAGCCTGGGCCAGTTTGCCCTTCCTTAGGAAGCCTCCACAACCTCTCCACCTCCACCATTCCCAGAGGCTCACTGCATTGATGCCAGACTTAATGTGTACATCTGATCAACTTAGTGCGCTACAGCTTTGAACCCTCCAAGATTAAGAAATCTACCAGCCTCAGCCTCCCTGGTAGGAGAGATTACAGGCATGCACTGCCATTCTCTGTGACCACTACTCACTAGTCTCTCTTAGGAAAAAGTGAACAAGAAGAAACCAAGCAATGGAGAATTCTTTGAAGTATAACAATCATTTGTTTTTATGATATACTCTTTGAAATAAATACACTGTTTTCCCCTACAGCTTATTCTGGCTATTATCAATTGGACCAGAAGTCCATGACTGGCATTGTTGTTGGTGTTTGCATAGCCCTGACTTGCATCCTTATCTGTATCCTCATTTTGATCTATCGAAGCAAAGCCAGGTATGTGTTCATTGACAGAGGTCTTAGATGGTTTAAAAGAAAATACAGCTAGCTATTACCACAAAGCAAACCACATTAGTAAAAGTTAGGGTATAGAGAATACTTTGGAAAATTGTGGGGCAGAGGTAATATCTTTCTATATAAAACTCTCATTTATATTTTTGTACTTTAATGAGATTCTTTGTGATAGAAATTCTAACAAATAAATCTTTATTGTGACGTTATTTTGTCATCATTGTTTACTTTGTTAAAAAAAAACTGCTCTTCTGTTGAAATATTCAAAGAAAAGTTTTCCTGGTTTCTTTGTTGTTTTAAATGAGATGCCAGGATACTCTTAGGCCATTTCTATGTGATACACCAAATGTGAGGCACTTGATTATAAAGGGGATCTTTAATCAAAACCTCTTGGATTTCTACATATTCAAGTACCCATTTCAAATGCCTAAATGATTCATTGTTCAGGAAGAACTAATAAATTTTTATGACTACAGCTAACCAGAGTAATATAAATAGTTTACTCCTTTTGGAGAAGCTGCTATAAAAATAACTCCTATTGATCTGTAATTAAAGAGAACTACTTTGAGGTTTCTATGAACAGAATATGAGAGGAATAGAATTCTACAATGTAAAACTGGGCAATTTTGATGTTACCATTTCAAACCACTATTGATTTGTAGCTGCTGAAGTGGTGGACCCTAAGCAGCCAGGTTTTCATCATTCATGCCATTCTGGTTTAAGCAGTTTAAATATGTCTTTAAATGGAGGTGGGAAAGCTCATAACTGCTTAATTTGTAACCTGTTCCTTCCTAAAACTCAAAGGGGAATTACAAAGCTGTTTGTGAGTTCAGAATCCAGTGCTGATTTCTACAACTAAATGCTGATGGCAGGCTCCAAATTCCCTGTGCTAAGTGCTGTGACAAGCTGTAACAAGTAAAAGGAATAGGTTAGGGTGGAGGGAGCAAAAAATTTCCTCTTCAGTAAAGAAGAAAAATTAATTTTAATATACAAACATCCTTTTTACACATAAGTTGAGGTGTTTTCATTTTTTGTCTTTTGACATATTGTCAGTCCAACCTAGGAAATAGTCTACATTTTTATATAGATCACATATATGATCAATTTTTAGCCTTATGAAAATTATCCTTTATTTAAACCAAAAGTTTTAAATTTTAGAATAGTTCTCTTAGCCGTTTATTTACTCATAAGCTAGCTCTCTTTATTCTTTTTTTTTTGCCTTTTTTTTTTTTTTTGGTGAGGCAATCAGGGTTAAGCGACTTGCCCAGGGTCACACAGCTAATAAGTTTCAAGTGTCTGAGGCTGCATTTGAACCCAGGTCCTCCTGACTCCAAGGCAGCAGCTCTGTCTACTGCGCCACCTAGCTACCCCTAAATATCCTTTTATTTTATTTTTTGGGGAGCTAGGCAATGGAGTTAAGTGACTTGCCCAGGGTCACACAGCTAGTAAGTGTCAAGTGTCTGAGGACGGATTTGAACTCAGATCCTCCTGACTCTAGGGCCAGTGCTCTATCCTAGCTGCCCCCTAACTCCCTTTATTCTCAACTGATTTATGCTCAAAGAATGTATTCTTAATTTTAATATTAGTCTAGAAGAAATATCATTAGGAAGGTAAATCTGCTTTTTGAAAGTCAAAACCAATCATACAAGATTTTTAAATTATTCATGCTTCTGTTTCCCTTCCATTAGCAGATCATCTAGATTTGACTGTACAAACATGTAATACTGATAATAGAACCTCCAAACCACCTTCAGATAAAACAGTTCAGTTTTAATGTCTTATTTTGTACCTTTAATGATTTTTAAAGAAATCTTTTAAATTCTGTACTTTAGATTATAAATGAATTGTGGGTGAATAAATCACTAACTTTTTTCACATATTCATATGTCAAAGTCTCGTTCATAATCTGCACTGTTGTTAACAGTCACTGTCATTAAAACTTGATAGATTACAGCTGTTTTGACTGTACAACAAACTAAAAGGTTATCTCAGAAATTTTTAGAAAATGATAAGGTTCGAAAATAATTGTTTATAATTAACATGAAAAGAAATAATACTATTTAACAACTGAAGCACTTCATAAATGTTAGAGAATTGATGCTTAACTATTAAGGGGAAAGGTTTTACATGTATAGAAATTAATGGGAAAAGGTAAGTAGGTTCCTCAAAGTTAAAGTGTTTTTTGATGAAAGTAAAATCTAGTACTATTGACAACTAGAGTTAATTGTGGTAACGTCTATATATGGTAAAGAAAAAAATATTAGAGAATGTTATTCTTCACAAAATATAATTTGTATAAATTTAGTATTTTTGCATATTTCTTCTATGTGATAATATTTCCTTTTTTCAATTTAAAAATATTTTAGGAAAACATCTGCTTCTAAAACTTCACAAACAGGAACTGAGCAGTTGTCTCGAACCAGTGCCTCATTAGCCAGTGGAAATGAGATGAGAAAGAACCTGGAAGGAATTGTAGAGAATGAAGAATCCTTACTACCGATGATAGCACAAAATAACTTCATTGATGCAAAGGTACTCTGAGTTTAGAAGCTAATGCAGTATATTACAGTTGCCTATATGCATTTTTATGCCCTGTGTAAAATACATTTATCAAAAAGTTAGCCCATATGCAAAGTAACTATGTTTCCCAAAGGATTAAAGAGAAGATTGTTCTGAATCACAGTTGAGAAATCACGAAGCACTTTGAATGATCCTTAAATGCACACTGCTTTAGAAGCCCATAAAACTACATTTTCTCTACCTCCCCTACCATTTAAAAAGAAAAACAAAACCCTTTCAAGAAATATACATAGTCAAGCAAAACATTAGCCATGTCCAAAAAATATATCTCATTATGCACCCTGAATCCATCACCTCTCTGTCAAGAGAGAGATAACGTGTTTCATCATTAGTTCTATGAAACCTTTGGATTATTTCTTTGATCAGCATTCTTAATTCCTTCAAAGTTGTCTGTTTTTACAATGTCTTGTTATTGTATTAATTGTTCCCATGGTTCTGCTCACTTCACTCACTGTCAATTCACACGTCTACCCAGGTTTCTCTGAAAACATCCCTTCTTCATTTCTTACAACACACGAATATTCTCTAACATTCATATACTATCATGGGTTCAGCCATTCCCTAATTGATGGGTACTTCTTTAGTTTCCATTTCTTTACCACTACAGGAAGAGCTGCTACAAATGTTTTGGTAACATGGTACCTTTTCCTTTGTGCTTTGGTCTGTTTGGGTTATAGACCTAATACTGGTATCACTGTATCAAAAGGTACACACAGTTTAATAATTTTCAATGGCATCGTTTCAGAATTAAAAACTCATAGAAGGAAATGGCAAACCACTGTAGTATCTTTGCTGAGGAAACCCCAAATGGGGTCACAAAGAGTTGGATATGACTGAAACTACTGAACAACAACAAAACTTTTAAACACCATTATTCTACCAGTAATTTTCCACTGCTGGGAATAATGGACCCCCACAACCTTAGAAAATTCAGAACTATAAATGACTCAAAGGGTAATGAACAGATACGTAGTAGGCGGCGCATGAGATGTGACTCTGAAAGCCATCATCGTGATCAAAAAAAGAGGTGGCCTAGTCATTTGGAAAGAGTGAGAGATACTGTAAGGGCATTACACAATATTAAAAGAATTAGAGGAAAGCCCCTGTTGGGTAGATTTGGTGAAAGACGTAGATAGGAATGACAGGAGCTGAGAAAGCATGGATGGATCATAATCTTTTCTGCTGGTGGGAATACCCATGAAAATGAATCAGAAATCCATCAAAGGGTACTTGACTATTTGTGCTTGCATGTAGCACAGAATAATAGAAATAGTATGCACATAAAATACATACAAAATGCATCATGTTCTGTGTCTTTGGTCAATCTAGATATAACCTTATAAATATCCCATGTTGATATTTATTACTAGAGTCAAAAAAATGATACCATGTAATTTATTTCTTGTTTATTCTATTATTTTCTTTTGAATACAAATGTAATATGCTGAAGCTTTTGAAGTTAGAAAATTTAAAATTTCCCTTTTTATTTTAGGGTGGAACTGACCTAATTATTAATAGCTATGGTCCCGTAACAAAAAGTAACCCTAAGAAGAAATGGCTCTTTTTTCAAGACGCTAAGAAGGTGAAAATTGAGCAGGTAACTCATCTAAACTCAGGCCTGAAAGTACTCCATATGAAACCATATTTATAAAGAAGGGAAAGAACTAAAATATCTATACATTAATTTTAAGTTTTTAAAAAATGTCATATATGATTCTCTTCATTATAGATATGACTTATTAACTTTAGCCGCACAAAGTAAACGATTTGCTAAAAGTACTTACCCAGCTTATAAAAATGAACTGTTTCAAAACTATAGATAATATTGAGGAAATTCTATTACAAGGGCAGATAGTTGGCATAGTGTATAGAGTGCCAGGCCTGGAGTCAGGGAGACCTGAGTTCAAATCCAGTCTCAGACACTATCTGTGGGACCCTGCGCTAGTCACTCAGCCCTATTTGCCTCAATTTCCTCATTTGTAAAATGAGCTGGAGAAGGAAATGGCAAACCATCCCAGTATCTTTCCCAAGAAGACCCCAAAAGGGGTCATGGACATTCAGACATGACTGAAATGACTCAACAAAATCTTGTTTGTGTTTAAAAAGTGGCTTTTTCTAGAACGCATGAAATCAGACTCATTATCATTTCCACTTATTAGCACTTGAGATTTTCTGTAGGTGCTTTATTATCATTTCTATGTTTTGTTTTGTTTTTTCCGCACAGCCTCAAAGAAAATTTGTTCAAACAGTCTGCTTTTATCAGCCAGGCACTACTGTATTAATAAGTGATGAAGACTCCCCCAGTTCTCCAGGCCAACCAACCAGTTTCCAAGTGCCCTTTGGGATTACAGCTGACACAGAACATTCTGCAAATAGTGAAGGAAGCCATGAGACTGGAGATTCTGGAAGATTCTCCCATGAATCTAATGATGAGCTCCACCTCTCTTCAGTCATAAGTACCACGCCCCCTACCTCTAATTCCTTCTTAGGCAGTGATGCAGGTGGAGATCCTGCCATGAATAAATGTGAAGACACTCCAATGCAGTTGGTTGCTGAGCAGATTTCTACCTCATCTTTACAATTACAGTCTGCAATGCTGTGCTTTGATAAAAATGAGTTTCCAGTCTAGACAGCCATGCCAGACATGCTCACAGTATATATGTCTGTTCGAAGGACAATGAACAGGAAGCCAAAGCATGTTGTGAAAGTCCTGATGTCTTACTGGGTGTTTTTGATATTTTTGTTGAATGTCTTTTTGTTTATTTTCAAACTGACTTGTTTTGAATGTTTTATTGTCAGAAATGTGAAAAGGTCAAGATATCTGACTAGAGTTTAGAATATATCACTGGAGCAAAGAGGACTTTTTAAGCCCCTTTGCTGACTATCTACCTCAGTTTGCCAAATGGTGAACTCTGAAGACAACTAATTGACCTCATTTGTGTTATAGTTGATTTCAGCTATGTAACCAATGATACTTCCTACTAGCGTTTTTTTTTTAATTGCTGTATGTGTAATGTGTTTGATTGAAGGAGTGATAGGTGGAAGAGTTAGAATGTTTATCTGAAGCTCTGACTTTTTAACAAATTATAATAACTACATAATTGAGATAATTCAGTACCTCTGACCAGGAGAAGTGCTGAACCATTTAATTGGGGGTTGGGGGAAGTGGGATCATTTTTAATCACTGGTAAAAAAAAAAAAAGACCTCTATTGAAATAACAGAATGTGTTTTTTATTGCATGTATCAAATTACATCTTTGAAGGCATTTAGGATTTGCCTTTAGAGCCTGAGTATACCCAAATAACCCTCCCAGAGCTGTGCCTTTGCAGTGTGCCCTCAATGTTGTTCAAAAGGCTACACTGTCTGCAGCCTGTCCATAGAAGTATTTCACATTCATCGTTCTCGCAGGGTTAACTGCAAAACTCATTTTTGAGAATGAATTCTTTTAAGTTTGTAGGTTGTTTCCTAATTCTGGCTTGGCTTTGAATGAATGAGGAAACTTCCCAAAGGATCAGGATGAACACCAGTAGACAGTAAAATGAACTATTAAAACATCACTGTAACGGTGCCTTCCATTATTTAGTATGAAATTCTTTGCCTTATGCCTTGTCAATTTTCATAAAGTTGCTTAGGACAGGAGCACATAAAGTTGCCTTAAGTATATACTGAATTTTATGGATGCTTTTTATTGTAAAGTACAATAGCTCTCCAAAATTACAAGTATTCAGAGCTCTATCCATTTTCTTGAATTATTTAGAGAAATCAGTACTATTTCTTCCTTCAGTATCAGTGCTGTTAATGAAGAGTGTTAACTTCAGGGGGAGATTTTTATCCTCATGCTGATTTTAAATAGGCATACAGTCTATACAGTAGAGCGTTATAGAGAGTATTGGGTCATAAGCGTTTATTGAGCTTTGTACTAAACACTACCCCAAGCAGCATAAGGGGATTTTTTTAAATGACATGGTCTTGAAATGGTTCCCTATTCCTTTAGAGTTACAAAAATTGTCTAGAAATTACTTTGGGGCCTTATTTTAAGAAGAATTTTATATTTGAATCTCATTAAAACCTTCCCTGAATAAATAGGGTTATTGTCGGGTAGGATTTTAAAATGAACTGGAGGACCCCCTCTCCCATTCTATCATTCCCAAACAATGATGTGGACATATTTATTGGATTATATACAGTTGTGTGCCAAAATGAATATGCTTAAAAGCAAACCAATTTTAAGCGGTTTTGCAAGACAACTGCTTTTAACTCAAATTCAGAGCTTCCCTTAAAAGATCATTTAAAATGCGGGCTTCCTGAAGAAATGAAAAAGCAGAGCTTTAGGTGAACAGTCTGATGCAAAGATAAATGCTGCTTCTGCCTTTTACAGCTCCTGTTTTATACTACCTCCTTTTAAAGTTATTCTAGTGTTATTTTTTTTTCCTGTACTCAGGGAACATTGTGTTGCTTTTGAGCTGCCTCATGAAAATGTGGGCAAACTGACAGGGTATGGTGTTTTTTGCTTTTTAAATAGGAGCAGCATATAGGGCCAAATTTACCAGTGTCTAAAATTATGGAATATAATTAGATCTTTTAAAAAAATTTTATAAACATTATCAAAAAGCAAACAAAATTCAAAAGCTTTTAATTTTTAAAAGCTAAAAAATAGCCCATCAAGATTATGGAATGTGCATCTAGGAATGGTTTGACTTGGAGCTAGTGTTAAAGCCTAAGAAACTAATCCAGAGTCCTTGAAGAAAAGGATTTTGTTTGTTTTTTTGATAAACCAGGCCATAGTTGATACAGATCTTTAGGCTGTTAACTCTTTGCTTATTATGTACCAGTACCTTTTTTCTTTTACATATTGTTGCTAGACAGGCTTTATAATAATAATAATAATAATAATAATAATAATAATAATAATAATGATAATAATCCTGTTACCAAAGAATTTTCTGTAGAAAAGAGAAGTTGAAAATTATTTTCAAAAAATTTTGAATTAGCTAAAAACGTCTATAGGTTTGAAGTGCTGAATAAATTTTATTATCCAAGTAGTTACTAACCCAAAACTATAGGGCCTATATGATTGTAGTTGATTAAATAGATTAGTATAGACTTCTACAGTTTTAACTACCTTATTGTTACCAGAGCATTTTACCAGCAAATAGTTCTAAAGAATGTCAAGCATAATTTTTTTTTCTTCAGCAAGTAGTTTTCCAATAATACAGTATTAGAGTAAATATTTTTAAATTGATGAATCTACTTGTTGGAGGGGAAAAAATTTTTTTCACCAAAGATATATACATACACATGTATATGTCTCATCCAGCAAAAATTTTAGTATACAGCAAAGATGACTTTCTACTTAGCTAAAGCATGCTAAATCTAAGTTTGAATTTGTTACCAAAAGGTGAAGTTTATTGCTCTCTTTCAGAGTAGGGGCACTTCAGAGTTTTTCACTTCAAAGGGGCTAATATGCAAAGGGTAGCTGTATTCTTCTCCAAAGATTTATTTGTTATAAGTACTAATACAATGCATTTCATTTTTATGCCAAGTGTACAAGTAGATGTTGCTCATCAGTATTTTCATACCAAAGACCAGTAAATTATATAGGCCTACACAAGGCAAATTAAAGATGAGCATATTTGAAATAATGTTTAGTGGCTGATAGAAAGGATATTTAGCGTTAGTAGCTAAAGATATCAAAGTTTACATAATTCAAAGCAATATGGCTACAGTGCTATTAATGTTTTTATTCAAGTACTTTTTATCAGCAAATAAAGAAAAACCAAAGATATTTAAAGTTACCTCAGCATATAGGCAAATTTAGTTTTACATTAAACCCTTCTGTCTCTTGTTTTTATGTTAACAAATGATGTCTCTCCAGAGCCCATTCCACATACAGATGTCAGGAGTATGTACTTTCCATTGTATCTGCTGATTCAACTATAGGATTTTTTAAAAAACCAAGAACAGAATAATACTTCTCTAATAGCCTGGCCATGAAATCCCACCAGAAATTTAATCAGACTATGTTCAGTTTCAGACCATTATGGCAACACTCTGAATTAACCTAGGCAGTTATCTTCAATGTTAATTCAAAAGTTTTAAAATTTCTTCAACTAATGATGTTGGGGAAAAGGGTCTGATGTAAAATTCTTAGGGACACAGGTAAATGAATAGATGTGATCACAGAATGGGTAGATCTCACTTTGTGCAACATATGCTACTGAAAAAAATTATTTACAAATCAAATTTTCATTATTTAAATCACTGCAAGTGCACTAAAGGGGTTGCTAATTAAAAGGATTACATGAGAAATCTTTTTTTGTAAAGCAAAGACTCTTTAGTGTCCAATTGGTCTTGTAGATTCTGGGTTAGCTTAAAGCAAGATATACATGTAGCATTTTAAGTGACTTAAAAAATTTAATTTAGGATATGAAGGAAGTTTCTATCATCAGCATTGTGGATTACATTTACTTTTGTTTCAGCTAAGTTTGTTGTGAGCACTGGGAGAGATATTACAGGGTTAGTAGCGTTTTGCACCAGAAATAGATGCTTACAAGAAGCATGCTCACCAGTTGCCAGCCTGTAAGCACTGTCTTGTCAGGGCCATAATGTAGACATGCCTTTGATAACCATTGAAGTTCACAAAAAATATAGTGTGGAAAGTATTTTAATTTAGTTCAAGAAATCATTCACGTAAAAAGCAAACAAACAGATCTCAGATGTTGGTACGTTCAGCAAAGGCTGAATTTGTTCATTTGCCACAAATTTTAATTAATTAAATTTTGAATCCCACAGTGTTAATAAATTCAGTTTGTTTGACTTTTTCCAAGGCCAACTACAGTACACATTTGCTTTGCAGACTTTTATCCTACCAACTTATTATGTGACCTCTGATTAAATTGTCTTAAAAGTCACAGGTGATACAACAATTTCTGATGGCTGTGATCACAGAATAAGGGTTCTGGAGACCAGAATACACCATAAATTGTCATTGTGGATTTTGCTCAAGATACTTAGAAGCTGAACATAAAGGTGGAATTCCATTTTAATCTCTTTGAACTCATTTTAAAAATATGCTTTAAAAATAAGAATCCAGGCTAGTACAATGTGTGTTTTCAGTCTTTGGTCTTTAGCCAGGCAACTCGTGTATTTTCCAAGTATTTAAGAGCAAAAGGAAAGTGTCATATTAACCCAACTATTAAGTTATTTCCATTAAATTCCCAGACCTGTAAGACATCTATAATCCTCCATAGCTCAGAAAAGCAGTCCAAGGTCAGCAAAAGAGGTTAGGTGCCCTTTCGGGTTCATTTAATTCCTTTCTTCATGATGCAGAGACCATAAAATTCCTGACATTTTATCAAATGTTCATATTAAATTCTCTCTCAAAAACATTTCATACATTTGCAAATTAACCTTTAATTTTCCAACATGCGCTTTTAAAAGATTTTTTTAGATTCCAATTTAACAGAAAGTTTAAAAAATATTTGCCTCTATCTTTATGAATTTTAACAGTATTTTAGAAGATATTCATATTGTATTTAATATGACTTCCTACTTTTTTCTTGAATACTTTTACTGTGAATTAAAATTTTATTTCAGATTATCTCTATTCTTGCTTAAAATAGTTGCTATGTTATTCCCCATCATACTAGTTTAGCTTCAAGAGAAGCTTTGGTACTGTTGTTTGCTCTTGAATTATCCCAAATATCACAACCTAAAACAAAACCCAAACCTGTTTGGGTTTTTTGTTGTTGTTGTTGGGTTTGTTTGTTTTTAATAGCAGAAGACATTATCAGAAGTGGTGCCAGGTTACCTTCTGGGCTCTAATGAAGTTATTACCTGCAGGGCCAGGGTAGTAGAAAAGAACAATACTTGACTAAGATTTAGGATGGGTTTTAGGACTGGTTCTTTGACTAACTCATTGTATGTTCTTTGGCAATTCACTGAACACTCCTAATCTCAGTTTTCGCATCGAAAAATGAGCTTGGACCAATCCTTTTTAGTTTTAACATTGTGTAGTTTTAGTTTACATTTATAAAATGCTTTGTTGCTACAAACCTAGAACTTTTGAACTCAGTACTCTTTCTCACAGTACTACTATTAACCCAATTCAGTTTTATTTACTCTTGCTACCTTAGGCAGCCTACAGCCTAATAGGAGGTATTTTAAACCAAAAAAAAAATTGTTCTTGTCTGTTCCCATTAAACAGTATTAAACACAAATCTAGCTTTCATTGTCTTAGCATTAGACAGACGACCTTAGAAAGTGTAGCTCAGTTTAGGTTGGTGGGTGAATCAGCCTGTCAGTTGATGCTATTTTTATCTTGGAGTAAAGAGCAGGAAATGTTTTTTCCATACCTTCCTGAATCAGATTTTTAAAGTATAGCTTTCTTTATGTTAACTTCTGAGAGTTGTTTTAAAAAACAAATAAGAAAGTAGAAGTTCTTTGAAAAGTTAAAAAACTGACCAAATAAAAGAAAGATACCTCCAAAATAATTTCATTAGGCTATGGGATAGAGTATATAGATTTTCTTTTCTTTTCACAGTAGATTTACCTTATCCTTTGCTTAGTCTAAAATTAAAATATTAGCATCCCCTCAACATAAACCAAATAAATGATTGTTGGGGGAAAGTGGCAGAGAGAGTACAACCTGGGATTTGAAATTGCCTGGATTATCTACATGTGGATAAATTAAGAGTAAACTGTAAACTGCATTCAGAAAGTACTACTACATCTCCATACTTCTAACTTATTATCAAAATTCTTCGTTAAAAGAATCTGATACTCTGGAAACATATTGGACATTAATTTTTTTTCTAATTGAAATAATAATTGGTAATTTGAGCCTGCTTTAAGTATTTACAAAGACTGAATGTACACACATTGCCTCAGCCTGTCATTAGAGTAGATGGGTATACATTGTTATATTTTTTTTTTACAAAATGTTTCACTTTTTTCTTTTTTTCTTCAGATGTGAATGAACTGAAAGTGTAGGAGCCAGTTATGTATCTCATATTGTGGGTGTTCTGGGTCCTTTCACTCCATATACCATTTTCTTATATAAGGGCAACATTAGCAGACTTACCAATGGAGAATAGAGCTGAGTTATTTTAATTTTATATTTGACTCAGGGGATCAGCTCTGTGAATTCCATTGCATGAGGAAAGCCAATGTTTGCCTTGATTTTGAATGTACCTTTTTCATGTCTTTTTAAAAAATAATTTTGTTATGCTGTCAGTTGTTTTTTTTTTCTAGCATTATAGTGTATGTTACCTAGTGTTTTTCCCCTTCCCTGGGATTGTTTATATGCTATCTCAAAGGTCATGCCAAAAATGAATAGAAGTTTAAATGCCAAAATGTTTATGAAACTGCTGTCTAAATACTGATTGATTGCACAGTTTTAATAAAAGTTTTCCTTAGTAAAACGTAGCATTCTTTTCTGTTTCACTTTTCTTTTGGGGAGTTGGAAAGTTCTACTTTCATTTTCTAGGGGAGGTGGCCCAGCTATGCTAGAATGGGAGGGCTCTGGAGCCCACCCAGAGGAAAGGGAAACAGAGCTAGATTGTAGAGCCTCGAATTTTCTTTCATATGGTATATTGAGTGGCTTCAGAATCTTGGTGGTTTGAATATTTGCTCATCTCAGATACTAAAGGGTTAAAGTATACCAAAATCTAAAAGCTTGTCCCAACAAATATGTTCTTAATCAAGGCCAAGATTCTGAAAGGTGTGGATTTACTGGAACCAAAATGTTGTATGTGTGTTGTCAGACATGGTCACTGTATCAGGTGTTTTTGCTTAACTATTTTACTTTGCTACAAGAAAGGGCTCAGTTCTGAAGCTGGGAATAGAAGCAGGTATCTCCCAA